CGACGACGATTCGTATAGCGGAACGGATAGCAGCAGAAGCCGCCACGGCAGGGCTGTGTGTTGCAGTAACGATAGCTGACCTTTGGGGTGCCGTACCTGAAATTTGGACTGGTTTTTGGACGAGAGCAGAGACCTGAAATTGGGAACTGGACGGATTTTTCATTTGGAGGCGGAGAGACCTGAAATCAAAAATGGATGGATGGATTTCAAATAAGCGACGAACGGTGTATTGCGTTGACGACTCTGGGTACCACAGCCTCCACACGGAGAACTGCACGGCGACCATTGCGTCCATTGACCTGAAATTGGTGAGTTGTTGATTCGTTTCAGGTTTTGTGGTGGTACTTCCGGGATTTCAGGTTTTCAAGTCGAATTATTTTCTGTTTGGGTTGATGATTTCATTTGCAGTTTCAGATGTGTGAATTGGTTCGTATCGATCGGAAAATGAAGAAATGAAATGAAACGGTTTCGCTCACCTCCTGGTGATGGTGTGGCGCGAGTTGCTGGTCTCCTGAAATTGCNCAAGTACTATACTGTACAAACAGTGCGAGATCTGAGCTGGTAAACGATGGATTGATTAATGATAGATCAACGGTACGAACGTTGGGCGTTGGGTTATTGGACGTCGTGTTTGAGGTGGACTGGTGACGCCGCCTGAAGGGGTGGGTGGATCTGAAAGGTGAGATGTGTGGTTNGTTACTGTATTTTAGAGTTACTGTATTTTACAATTACTGTATTTTACAGTTACTGTATTTTTTGATAGATGAATTTAGACTGGCGTACCGTATCTGTAACGCAACGAGAATGAGCTCCTGTACGAGCCGCGATAGAGGACAATGACTTGATTGGATTGCGATGTGATGCGAACACGTGAACCGCTGCAGAGCCTGAAATTTCGGGTTTGGGTTATATCCGATGGAATTTGAAGTCGAATTATAACGTTTGGATGATTTCGATGCAACTCAATTATTCAGAAAATCGATGGAAGTGTTGATGGGGTGATAAAGGCACTGATAAGCGAGTGATAAGCTGATAAAATGGACAGATTTGTGAAGGTAAACCGTTTGATTGAAGAGTTATTAGATTGGAATTATTTTTGAGTTACTGTATTTTAGAGTTAGAGTACTTACCGGGCTCCGGTGACACTGATGTCGTTGGCGTATCGCACCTCCAAGAAGGCCGACGGACACGGCGCCCCGGACGCGAATCGTAGACTGCTGATATCGAGCACGATACGACGACCAGCCGGAGCCTTAAATTGGATGGCGTCAGGCTTAGATTAGGGTGAATTTATAGTGGAGGGTGGCGTGTGTGCGGGTGGCGAAGTGGTAAGATTGTGGCGCAACGTTTGGAGGGTTGGCAAGGTGGGTGAGGGTTCGATTCCTATAGGGTGTATCTTCTGTGATTAATGAAACTTGTTTGATTTTGATCAGTTTTTTGATCAGTTTTGATCAGTTTCATTTTGATTCGGATATTCCGGAATACTGAGGAGCCAGATCAGCAGGACAAGATAGCATTTTAGTAGTGGTTGATGGTTACGGTAGAGATAGCGTAATATTGTTATGGTGTGAGACATACCGTAATCATGTAGTTACATTCACCTGCCCCGGATTGTGAGAGGGTTTGCAGTGTGCCGGTGGATGCGCGAATGAGCTGACCGCATTTGGTGCGGGTGGATCTCATCTGATTGCATGTTCTGCCAGCCACACCATCGGTACATCGGCATTTCGAGCAGTCTTTCGGGTCGGGATAGCCACCGTTCTGACAGTTTAGACTGGAGCGGGCACAAACACCTCAAGCAGAGCTCATTTCAGGTCAGGAAATTTTAATTTCAGGTCGAATGTTTTTGATATTAGGTGAAATATTCTTGATATTAGGTGAGATATTCTTGATATTAGGTGAGATATTCTTGATATTAGGTAGAATATTTTTGATATCAGGCCAGATAATTTTGATTTCAGGTCATATATTTTCGATTTCAGGTGAAATACTTTACGAACTGACCACCGCAATACGCCTTATTCATCATTTTAACGTTGGCAAAGGATAGACCGAAACGTTGGCCGATGGTGCTTTGATAGTTGCGGTCGATTGTTTCGATGGTGTTGCGACCGTTCGTGGAGAAGCCCTTAAGAAGTTAATTAATTAGCTAAGTTAATTAAGTTAATTGGTCTTGATTTTATTTATTGTTGATGAAATTTATTGAGATTACGATTTGAGTTGTTGACGAATTGATGTGACGACGACGTGTTGACAGAAGTCACAAATGGAATGTTTAATGATTTGAATAAAGTCACAAACGTTTTAACTGTTCATCAAATAGCAAAAGCACCTAGAACAGCAAATAAGACCGACCTTCGAGCCGTAATGCATCACCGAACCGTAGTCGTATCTGATGCCGAAGGTTTGCATTCTCTGCGCCGATTGCTTCGAGAATTGACCCGCCAAGCCGTTCTGGATATTCTGCGTCATCACGCGGATAAACGAGTCGCGATCGAAACGTGCTTGCTCGTGATAGAAACCTAGTGCGTGACCTGAAATTGGAGAAATTTAGAGACCTGAAATCGAGGAGGCCTGGAAGTGGACTGGACGGACACCCAGATAGGATCGGATCGAGAGCTTTTGGATTTTGGATCGCGTTTTGGACCACGGAGGGTTGGTTCCCGAGCGAACCGGAAAATGGCTAATGCGGAAAATCCGGCGGATGACCTACCGATTTCGTGTGCGACCGTGCCGACCGACTCACAACCACGACCAATCGAAACCTGTTGTGCGCCTCGACCAACTCGCCCGATGTTTGAGTAGCAGCTGAAACACGAACTCAAGGTCAAGTTCTTGGGTTTTGGTATTATTTTGGCATTTGAAGGGAAATATTAATAAGAATAGCGATAGCGATAACGATATAGCAATTTACCCACCCATTGCCCTTGATAAACTCGAGCATATTGCCCTGGCCACTGGTACTGTAGACTTGACGGAATTTAATGCATGTATTATCTTGCCATTGCCTTATGCCAGCCATGACCGCGTTACGATCCACTGAAATTGATCATGATCACTTTTGATCATCAGTAGTGATCAGGTGTTCAGGGAAAGTTGACTGGAGAATTGATTTGATCAAAACTGGGACACAAAAAAGTGAATTTAGTCGGATTTTGGGCGATTTGGACGAGAAATTTGGAATTTTTAAAGTTTTTTTTCGACGAAATTCGGCGCCAACCATTTGAACTGAGTTTGTATGGAATCGGCATTTGGCTCCAACGACCCGCTAACGATGAGCTGAGAGTCCTCTGGCGTGGCTCTTTAACGGCACGATTCTCGTCTTTGGCCTCTTTGGCCTCAAGCTGCTCTTCTGCTTCACTGAAGAATTTCAGTTGATTTTCAGCGATATTGATTTCAGTTGATCGATGTGATCGGTAGAATTGATCACTGATCACTGGTCACTAGCTGATCAGTTGATCAGTTGCGTTTGGAGTTTGTGAATATACCTGAGAATTTCGTTCATTTGCTCCTCATTCAAGATGATGTCTCCTTCAAAAAGGAACGGCAACATGTCTGGCTGTTCTTCTTCGGTTTGATTCGGACGGCGGAGACGTTCCTTGATACCACTCTGAAAGGAGCGATTTGCTTGGAGAGTTGATCAAGGAATTTTGATCAGTTGATCGATTGATTGATTGATTGATTGATACTTTTTATTATAGTTCAGAGTATTTTGATGGTTTCAAAAGTAATTTAATTTCAGGATAGATGACTACTGACATGTTGCACTCCCAATATCTTGCTCTCGATCGCGTCCAGTCTGTCCATATCGTCCAGAAACTTCTCCAGTGACTCTCTGGTGAATGTGGATTGTCCATTGAGCAGATCCTCCGGAGCGTACCGCTGAAACTTTGACAGTTTTAACTTAAGGTAATTGTTTGATTTTTTTGATTGGAAGTTGATTTGAGACAAAACATTGATCACTGATCACGGATCAATAGCTGATCACATTGGATCAAGGATATGGCGGACGGATTATCGAAATAAAGTTCGGAAAGGCACAAAAACACGTGAAATTGGATTGATTCTGAGTTAAAACTTACAGATGTGGCACATTGGAGCAGAGCAAACAGGAGTATGGCTAGAAGGGTGGTGATCATCTTGGAGGAAGGTGATCAAGTGATGATATTCGAGATCAAGGCAAGTTGATCAAG